GTCTGGTGTCGCGTGGCCCATCTCCCTGATCTCTGCAGCCGAGCAGAGGGCCAGTCGCTGGCGTCCGTTGATACATCCTCTGAGGTCGATCCCTTCGTAGTCCTCTGCCGCGTTTCGCTGCTGGCGGGGGGGTCTGCGCCCTCCTCCCCCGCCGTTGCCGCCCCCTTCCCGCCGCCGCGGCCGCGGCCGCTGGCGGGCTGCCCGCCGCCTTGGCGCTGGCGGGTCTGTGGTCCGCTGGTCCTTGCCGTTTCCCTAGCCGCCCCCTTGGTGCTTCGGTTATCCTTCCATCTCCGCGCCCGCCCCCCTTCGGGGCGGGGGCAGTCTCCGCGGCGCAACCGCCATCTTCCACGCGGCGCGGTCCAGGGTGGCGGCAGCGCTCGCGCACTTGAAAATCCACCAGAAATTTACCCTGACAGCCGCAGAGGGCGCAGACTACGGAAGGGGACCCCCGGACCGGGTGATCCCAACAGCTTTCGTTTTCGCCGCAAATCCCGTGGCTATCCGCGGCCCCCACGACATGGTCGGTCGTTTCTTTGACGCGAACGAGCTCAATCACCGCGGGCATGGATTCGCCATCACCAAGCTGGGGATCAGCGGAGGATAGATGTGCACCATCTCCTGTGCGCTGCCAGCGCTGCGGCCGCAGTGAATTGCGCCCCGCGCACCTGGCCCCCTGCCCTGGCTTCCCAACCACGCCAATTCTGAGCGACCAGGTCACCTCCCACCGTAATTTCTGATAAATGTGTGCCCCAGGCTTGTCCTGCATGGCGTTGAATACTGAGGTCCGCCCCTGCCCAAACTCCCCAGTCTCTCGCGCCCGTCTGGAACATTGAGGTATATGATTGCCTCCGCGGGCACCAGCTTGCGACATCCTCGCTGACCTCCGCCAGCGCCTGCAAATCCCTTGCCACCTGCTCTGCCCAGGGTGTAGATGTCCCGCATGCCCCCCCCCCCCCCCCCCCCCATTGCCCAATCTCCTGACTTCGCAGAGGCGGCCCAGCTTCGACGCGCCAAAAACTGCTGCCAACACACTGCCAAAGTCCTCTGGATATTTCACCCATTGCCTATACCATCGCAGCCTGCGGATCCCTGGCGCTGTTGAGCAGCGCGGCATCCTCCATCTCATGAACACCTCCTTGTTGCTGTAGCACCTGGTCGCGCCATCTTCTTCTCTCCAGCTCATCATGCTTCCTGCCATTCTTCCCAAAAGAATCGCCATCGCCCTGTCAAGCGCATTCCAAGTGTCGTTCTTCAAATGCAACTGCCGCCATTCCGCTGGGGCCTGCGCCCGAAACGGACGCCTGGGACATCTCCTGCTGGATCTTGTCGGTGGCATCGGAAGACCAGAAGAATCCACGTTGTCTGTAAGCTATCTGCGCGGCCTCACATCTCCCCCTAATCTCTCCCGCGCAGCCTTGGTCTCCTGGTAGGTGCGGCCCCGACACTCCCCTCTCCCCCTTCGGCGTGCCATTGAGCTTCTTCTTCCTTAGGAGTTGTCGCGTGGTCCCATCTCACCCTGAACCTCGACGGGATGCCGGGTGGTTGGTTTCGGCTGGGCCCATGCTCCATCGCCCCCTCTCCAGCTGGCGCTCGAAACGCTGCGCGGTGGCGTTGATCTGCCCCGCTATTCTTCTTGCTTGGCATAGCGGTCCAGCCTCCTTCCCAGAGCGATCTGGCTCCTGGGCGATCCGAGGTATCCTCGCTTTCGCCAAAAGCCGACTGGCGCTGCGCTGCCGGGCGAGCCGGGGTACCCTCGCTTTCGCCAAGAACCGACTGGTGCTCCGAGATTGCCCCGCAAACTGCAATCGCCTGCGTGGGCGGCCCCGACGAAACCACTGCGCGGATCTTGATGATGTCGTCCACGGACGCGTTGGGCGACAGATCGCGCTCCTGGTCATTGGCGGGGCCCACCGCGTTGTGCGCTATCTGCATGTCGCCCCCCTCTCCCTCCCTCTCTCTCTCTCTCTCTCTCTCTCTCTCTCTCTCTCTCTCTCTGTCTCTCTCTCCCTGGCGCCATTGCCCCGCGCATGGGCTGTGAGTGTCATTGAATTGCCGCGGGCGCAAGGTAAAACCCGCCTGCGCGCCACGCGTAGTCAGTGCATGCAGCCAGTCGTCTGCGCACTCCATGCTCATTGACGCGTGGCGCAGCGCCTCGATAGCGAATGGCAGGTCCTCTTCTTTCGACATGGCGAAGACTGATGCCAGCAGGATGTTGCGTTTCGTTCTGGCGAAGGCATTGGTGTAGTCGCAGTTGCTGGCAATGGTGCTCGCCCCTGCCTGCCTTGCCCCCCAATGCGCGCCTTCGACGCAGGCATTCGCGTTCCCCCTCGATCTATTTCCTAGCTCCCCAGCGCTGACGGCCCCGGCCGAGCGTTCTCGCATCTCCCCAGGCGGTGCGCTTCTGTTTCTGTCGCCCGCAACGCTTCTCCGTCATCATCTCTATCTGTCTTGCCGAGCGCCCCCCCGGATACCCAGCCCATTTTCTGCAAAATCGGCATGCCCACCCTGTGCTTGTAAAGCGAGCTGTGCTTATCCAAGTCCTCCTCGTCCTCTCGCTTCTCCGCTGCTCGCATCTGTTGATCCTCCAGCTTCTTGCTCAACTGCTCCGGGCCCTCCAGGTTGACCGTGGGTTCCAGAGTCATCCATGTCTATGCCACGGCGCTCCCCGCGGGGGAAAGCCTTCCTGTTTGCCGCTTTCGCGACATGCTTCAGCGTGCCTCTTATGTCCATTACCACTTGGGCTCTCAGATCCATATCCATTGGGAGTGGCATGTTTTCTGAGATCACCTCGTCGAGCTCCTTCTCGTACTCTTCTAGGTTCATCGAATCTGCTGCCGGCCCCCCCATCGTGGGGGGCGTTTCCCAATTCTGTTAGGCATTCCTCTGTGTTCCACCATGTTCGTGCTGAGAAATAGTACCCCTTCCTTGGTCCTCTCCCATTCCTCTGATATCATACCCAGAGCCAGTGCTGAAGTTGTTCTCGCATTTCCCCCATCTGTCTTATGCCAGCTTCTGTTTTCTTGCAACTTCCAAGTCTCTCCTGTGTCTGCGAAGCACATTCTGCATCTGCGCCAGCTCCTTCCTGATATCCTCTAATCTCTCCTGCGTGTCTGACCCTGCCATGTCCACTCTTAACTTCGGCCCTTTCTGCCAGCAGGGAATGCCGCAGTAACTGGAAGGCAGTTGCCCCCCATGTCCCCCTGCTTCTTCTTGATTGGGAATACTTCTTGCATGGCCTCTCTGCCCGCTCCACCCCATGTCTTTCACATATGGTCCGCGGTGGGTCGCTCCTGAAGCTTTCTCCATTATTCCTCTGCCGCTCTCTCTCTCTCTCTCTCTCTCTCTCTCTCTCTCTCTCTCTCTCTCTCTCGAGGGATTGCACTCCGAGATCACCTCGCCAATGCTTTTCCTGGGAGCTCGGCTGGCCCCTCCTGGGTCGCACTCCGAGATGACCTCGCTAATGCATCCATCTCCTAAGAATTATGATGTAAATGCCTGGGTCGCACTCCGAGATAACCTCGCTAATGCTTCCCCTGGCTGTTGTGGCAGAGAGATGAACTTGATGTTCCAGTCAAATATCCATGCCCAAAGGGATGTGGTCTATGTGTCCTCTGGCTTTGATATTCTGTTTTGTGACGCCCCTCTCAACGCAGCGCACCTCCGCAAATGTGGTAGAAAGCCTCCATCGGTATCGCTATGTGGTCGATCTTGCTCGTCCTCATCTTATCGCCTTCCACGCAGTAGTAAGTTGGCCCACGATCCTTGGCTACTGGCCCCAATGCTGCTGCATGCTTGCCCGGACTATGTCTGCTGACCACCAGATCCCTGCTGTCTGACCTGTGCATCCTCACTCGGCTGTTGATGTCACCTCCCGCTAAGATAATAAATATGCCACCTGTGTCATCACACTTGTTTTCCACCCACTTCATATGTTTGAAATCAACCCTTTGTCTGCGTACCCTCTCTGGCGGCAAGTACGTCGCGAAGATTGTGACGTCGTAAGCTCTCGTATGCAACCTTACCCCTGCAGTTCTTCCTTGCAGTTGTGCAGGTGGTGTGTACTGCGTGTGAAAAGCCTTGTCTTTCATCGTCTCGTTGGACACCGGGAGCGTCGTGCCGCATGACTTCGTGACCCATTTTCCCTTCTTTGCCCCGAACTGCAGCGCCACTCGGCATCTGCTCTTGCCCTGCCCACTGATGCGCCCCTGTCAGCACAATCACATCCCACTCTCGTAGTGCACTGCTAATTTCTTCCAGTCTGTCCGTGGTATTCGCTGCTGACGGATTGTAGAATGCGACCTTCGTCAATTCACATACCAAAAACACTGCAACCGCCATCTATTTGCCATGCCCCCCTGGCTTCCTCTCTGGCCCGTGCGAGTGCGGGGCGGTAGTCGTGTGAGAGAGTTTCAGACAAATCCTCCCTCCGTCGGTTCTCAAAGTGCCTGAGCCTCCAACGCCGACTACGAAGAGGAGGAGGAGGAGAAGGAGGAGGAGGGGGAGGAGAAGGAGGAGACCCTTCCCTGCCCTAGCCTCGAGGGGAGGCGGGGGCCCCAAAACAGCCGGCGTTCCATTGTTGTTCGGGGCGTGGGCCCCTGGAGGTCTGGGCCGCTCAGTAGTGCGGTCCGGGCCTCCACGGCTCGGGGCGAAGAGCTGGCGCCTGAGTCCAGGGGGCCACCTGTGCGCCCTGGGGGCCCTGCGTCTTTTCTCTGACGGCCCGGGAGCCTCTGGAGGGCCCCCCGAACCGACAACGGCCCAGAACTGGCAGCCCCAAGCATTCTTCCCAGCCTCGGACCTCTGGGGAGGCGGGTGTTGGCAGGAGAGCTCCTAACAGAACACCACCACCAGCCGTGGCCAAGCCCATCCTGGGCCCTGGACTGGCGTACATACGGGCCCTCCTGGCTTAGGCCTGGAGCTCCATGCACCTGTCCATGGCCTAGGACGGACCTGGCCAGGACTGGTAGCGTATTGTCGGCGTCCCTCCGAGTCGGGCGTCGGGCCTGGCCCCCGCCGCGATGGCCCGCCGCGCCACGAGGCCGCGGCCGCGGCCCTCGCGCTCCTCCACGGCCAGGAGCCCCTCCGGAGCGGCAGGCGCCATGTGCCCCCAGGGGGGCGGCCGCGCTGCGACTCTCGGGCGGCTGCCCCTGGGCTGCCCATGCCTGGCCACAATAGCCGTGGGAGATCCGTGCTTCACTGCTGGCTGACTCCGCTTCCTCCTCCTCCTCCTCCTCCTCCTCCTCCTCCTCCGCCTCCTCCTCCTCATCCCTCCTCCTCCCTTCCTCCTCCTCCCTCCTCCTCCTCTCCTCCTCATCCTCATCATCATCATCATCATCAGCATCATCAGCATCAACATCATCAACATCATCACCATCATCATCATCATCATCATCATCATCATCATCATCAGCATCGTCATCATCATCAGCATCATCATCAGCATCATCAGCATCAGCATCAGCAGCATCATCATCATCAGCAGCATCATCAGCAACATCATCATCACCATCAGCATCATCGTTACTTCAACTACTCTCCTCCCGCCTCCTCCTCCTACCCCTGCTCCTCCTCCTCTCCTCCTACTCCTCCTCCTCCTCCTCCTCTCCTCCTCCTCCCCCTCCTCCACCTCATACTACTACCCCCCTCCTCCTCCTCTTCCTTCTCCTTCTCCTCCTCCTTCTCCTCCTCCCCTCCTCCTCACCCGCCTCCTCCCTTGCCTCCTCCGCCCCCGCCTCCGCCTCCTCCTGATCCTCCTCCTCCTCCTCCTTTTCCTCCTCCCCCGCCTCTTCCCTCAATATTTCACCCCAGGCGGCCGCCAAGCGGCGGCTGGGGCCCCTGGATGGCTCAACCAGTGCCCCCGGCCGACATAACGGCACCTGGCAATTTTGAAAGATCACAGCGAAACAAATATCATTGCAATGAAATTCCGCGCGCTGTACCTGAAGCAGCCCGCATGGTGCCCGAACGTTGCCAACGGCACTGCTGGTTGAGAGAATCCGTGCGACAATGCACCTGCACCATGGACGCAGGAAAACCAAAACGGACAGATGGGAGGACAGCAACAAACTACACACACATATGTCGCACACATGTGGTGTATGGAGAATGGTAGCTGGCATATGGTAGGTGACTACTTCTCTTCATCATCCCACTTCCTGTCCTTCACCATTATTTCCGGCACGCGCTGAACTGCAACGCTGCAGTGTCAAGCATGCAGCTGTGGCCACGAAGACAGCGAGATGGGTAACATCACAGCAACGAAACGAGATCGCACCACAGAAAACGGTTTCGCTAGCGAAATCGTTATCGTAATCATCCCACATGAGCGCATCCAAAGAACAAACAATCTGACAATGATGGCAGGACTTCGGACTCCTCAACCTCCTCCCCAGACGTCTTCCGTTTCCTTCACAATTCCACCATATGAATACCACTCTCCTCTCTCCCCTGGTGGCGCCCGGGAAATGTCCGGCCCCCCTCCGCGTATGGTTCTTTAAACACAGGGTTCCTGGGAATTTGATTTTCGCTTGAAAGCTTCTCCAAAATGCTGCTCTCGCTGAAGCGCTGGCACTAATTTCGGGCTACAACTCATTCCGATTCGTGTTTCCGCTGCAACGCTGGTCTCATTTCCGCGTTTCCGCTCGTTCCGAATCGTGCTCCCGCTGCAGCGCTGTCGTCGTCATTTCCAGCGCCATGCCACGGCATGGTTTTCGGTCCTTCCAAATTGGCCCCAAAATCTAGAAAATGGCCCCCGAAAAAACCATCGGACGTGATTACACATTCGGTGTCGATTCGTTGAATTTTGGGGCCGCAGACGCCCCCCACCCACACACACGCACCTTTGGGGCGTCGCCACGCCATGCTACGTCAGGCTACGCGTCCTCACTTCTGTGTTTTCGCGATTGTTTGTTTTCAACATGCTGCTCTCGCTGAAGCGCTGGCCTCATTTTCGGGCTTCCGCTCGTCCCGAATCGCGCTCCTGCTGCAGCGCTGGCCTCATTGCCGCGCTTCCGCTCGTCCCGAATCGCACTCCCACTGCAGCGTTGGCGTCATTATTTCCAGTACCATGCCACGGCATGGTTTTCGGCCCTTCCAAAGAAGCCCCCAAATCTAGAAAAGTGCCGCACGAAAAAAACATCGGATGTGATTCCACAGTCGGTGTCGTTCCATCGTTTTTTGGGCAGCAGAAGACCCCCCTCACTTTGGGGCGTCGCCACGTCATGCTATGCCAGGTTACGCGTTGATCTTCATCACCATGCTATGCCATGTAATGCTGTGCCAGCCATGTTGCGACATCTGATTGTGCGAATAGAGAGGAGATCTACGCCATGGTAAGGGATGGGAGGGAGGAGGAAGACGTCAGATGTGACGCGAGCGCACCTATTTTGCCCCTCCCCCCCCCCCCTCCCTTGGCACAAGGGGATAGGACACCGAGGGGAACGAGTTATGGAGCCTGGTTCGTTTCCCACGACGAGCTTTCCATCCTGGGCGTTTTTCTACAACCCTGGGGCCCGAGGGAGGGCCCTGGGCAGCTGGTAGCGCCGGGCATCATCCCACGGGACCCGCTTTGTCTAGTCGTTCGGAGTCTGCATGTCGGCAGAACTGCGATGAGAAATTCGGCGGGGCACCGCGCGATTCTACCTGGCAAGGCTCTGCATGGCTTCAGCACGCCCTCTGACAACCGCGGTGGTTTTACATCTGCGGGGCGCCCCCTGCCTCCGGCGAAACACACAGCCGCAAGCAGCACATGGAGGAACACAAAGCTGCATACATACTAACTTTCGGAGGCGAGCGTGGACCTCTTGGGTCTGCGCTGGGACTCCTCCCGAACGCGCGGGGCGGCGCCGCAGGCGCCACAACTGAAGGGGCCCTGAGACACACAAATACATGCACACAAATAAAAAGATCCCCCTTACTTCCCGATATGTTTTGGGTTTCTGTCTTCCCCCCACCTTCCCATATTGTCCAGTATTTTCTTGGGCATCGACGATTAATTGTGTCTGTGTGTTTCTTTCCCTCCTGAACAAGGGGGAGCTTAGCGCCGATCCACAACAGCTCTGCGCGGAGCTTCGAAAGCCTCTGCTTGTCATGCAGCTCGCTGTTTTTTTTTCTGGCCCTGGAGTGCCACGCTGGATGCACCTGCCGCTGTGATGTTTATGTCCCTGGCCTCGATGCTTACACCTTCCAAGCTCGTAGACATACGTTGTGTGCCTCCATTTCACTTTCCAGACGTGTGAGACACTCCTCAACACGTATTTGTTCAGCATCTCTGTCCCGAAGGGCTTGGGAGAGCTCAGACTGCGCGTGGTCCGCCGCCGTCCTAACTTCCTGCAACCTGTCAGCGAAGGGGGCGAAATCGTAAACCGAAGGAGGCCTTTGTTCTGCCAGTTGGTCTCGACGCCGACAGTCCAAACCGATAGCAAGGATGCACGACAAGGACGCAAGACCCTTGGACGCCCATGCCGAATCTTTTCGAGCGGGGCTGGCAGTCGAGAGAGGTTAATAATGGACCGAGGAGGCAAGGATGCAAAGGGTACCCATGGCAAGGTTGCCAATCCTTACTATCGGTTTCGACTGTATGCCATGTACACACACATGAAAATACCCCCCACCTTTTCTCACATTTGGGGGGTTTTCGTCTTCCCCCCCACTTCCGATATTGTCCCATATTCTCTGGGGAATCGATGATTAATTGTGCCTGTGCTTTTTTTCCCACCTGAATTTTTCCCGCCTCGCTGCGCCGACGCCAGCCCTGCTCAGCTCCGGCCGCCGGACGTCTGCCCTCACTGGTCGCCCAGCAGGTCGGAGGCGTCGGCGCCGTCGACTCCGAGGCCCACGATGTCCGGCAGCTGCGGCAGCACGACCTCTCGGATGTTGAGGAAGGTGCCCGCAGGCCCGACGTGTCCCCAGGATCCCCGAGGAGGCTCAGATTCGCGAGCCTGCCTACCATGCCGACGACGACTGAGAGGACGCCGACGACAGCGACGGACCAAGGCGAGGAAGTGGACGACGACGGGGACCTGGAGGACGCTGACGACGACGATGCCGAAGCCGCAGATCCTGTGCTCGATTGATCTGGCCTGGCCCCTGAAAATCCAAGCCAACCTCATATGGCAAGGGCGGAGGCGAGAGGAGGCGAGCATTCTCAGATGGCTCGGAAGGCCCCCGACCTTCTGACATCGGACATCGGACATCGGACCTGCAGCTGTCGCCAGCGGGGGCGTCGCAGGTTGGCGCCGTGGCACCGGGCAAGTGCGCGACAGATGAACAAACAACACACACGTGCACATGCTACGTTATGAAACATACTACAACGAAGAAGGGTCAGGCGCCGTCCTGCCTACATGAGCTGCATCAAAAAAAAACTATTTTTGTCGGAGAGGGCTTGCCATTTCCCCGGACCTTCTGAGGAGTTCTCTAGGCCTTCCCCGAAGACACGCCCAGCAGGCCATCTGAGAGGGCCTGCACCCCCTGGGCGCGCCGCCAGCAGATGGCCGGAGGATTCCCGAGGAGGAGTTCTGAGGATCCCCGAGAAGGCCCAGATCCCCCAAAGGGGGCCGAAAGCCAGAGAAACCCTGGGCCAGGACATCATGTGAGCGACGATCAAAATGAAGGGGCCCTGGGACACACAAATAAATACACACAAATGAAAGGATTCCACATATTTTCGCATATTTTCCGCGTGTCTGTCTTCCCCCCACTTCCCATATTCTCCGATATTTCCCTGGAAATGGACGATTGATTGTGTCTCTGTGTTTTTCCCTTCCTGACTGGAAACGCGTCTTGCGCGAGATGACATGAAGGCTCTACGCCGCGGCTTAAGCGGGCCGCCAGCGCGACACGACAGCGGCGCTCACACGCGACCTTACGCGGGAAACTTGCACGCCAGTGTCGGTGAAAACGAACCCGTTTTGCTGCGTCGCTCAGGTGTCAGCGCCAACATATGCTTGTCCTCCGGGACCGTTCGCTACGACGCAGGCGGCGCGACGAGGGCCGACACAGGCTGCGCGATATCGGCGACACCGAGCTGGGTAACTACACACGTTTGGGCAAGCACATGTCCTGAGGATCATCGACATTTCTAGCAGCACCCGAGCCTGGAGGGCCTGCTTCAGCTCCTGTCGGCGCTGGTTGTGCCTGTCGTAGAATCTCAGGATGCTGTCGCACAGCTCCTTGTCCTCGCGCTCCTCGGATGTGGAAAGTGCTACCGATACCGCTTCTCCTCCTTCGTTTTCGCCTTGATTATTGGGCTTCTGGGGAGGCCCTCGCCATCACGGCTTGATTCGCTTCGAAATCCTGGGCAGAACGCACCCTGGGAAGGTCCGGGGAGTAGTGGTACGGTGAGGGCATTGGACAAAGAACCAGTGGATAGAAATCCACAGCCTAATAGCCGGTGGAACATCAGCTGAGGTCCAGTCATGGATATCACCGCCGCCCTCATCAGGGTCTGAAGCCTCCTGGGCACATTTCACAACGAGCGCCCCCACCGTATAAAAGCTGTTTGGTCTCCCCAGCTCCAGATCCCTGCTCGCTTCCAGCGAGCCGTGCTGTACTGCGGCGTCGTTGGCCACCTCGTTGGAGTACAGCTCCAGCGCGGACATGGAGCTCTCGTAGTGGCCCCTGCGCTCCTTGAGCAGCTGCAGGTAGTCCTCACGGGCGGCGACCATATCCGGGAGCGGCCAAGAGGGGGGTGTCCAAGAGGGGGGGGTGCAAATCATGACCGGCGGCATGTGCGCGGCCCAGCGGGGAGACCTGGGACGTAATAAAATAAAAAGAGGCGCCATGAAATCTGAGTAAAAATCATGGCACGCGCCATGAAATCCACCCCCCCCTAGTCATCACCCCCCTCTTTTCCGCTCCCGACATATCTGCATCGGCGCCCTCGCGGTCTGGTTCCCGGGGCGCGATCCCGCGGATGCGCGGTCGCACGGACACGTTCCGCGCGGGGCACTTGGCAACAGAAAAGCCCCCGTATCCGCGGGGTCGCCGCACAGGGGCCCGCGAAGCCGCGGCTACGGACATGCTTTTCGCCCACGGCGTCCCGCACGTACGTCAGGAAGTGGGTGCGGAAGGCGGCCTGCTCCGACCTGTAGCTGCTCTCCTGCTGCTCCTGGGCCCCCAGCTGCTGCAGCATCTGCTCCATCAGCGCCGTGGAGGCCGACTTCTCCGCCAGGCTGGCCGCGCTCTCGCCAGCCTTCTGCACCGCAACCATGATGGTGCCACGGTCCTGGGATGGCCAGCCTCGAACTTATCCCTATCCCTACACCCCTGCTCAAAGTTAGGAAAAGTTTAAGCTAAGAAGCTGGACATCACGCCAAGCGTTTTCTTAAACCGTAACCCAAGAAGTCTCATGTTAGTTCTAAAGTGTTCTGCTAGGTGTACGGTCGGCAAGCACAAAGCGATGACAATCTTCAGGGATGCGCCCTCAGAAACTAAGGGATGCCGTAAGATCGGAGAGAGCGTGATCCACCGCCGCATTGCTGTGGAAAATCCCCCCCCCTCTTCCTCTGGAGCCCGGGGTCCCCCCCCCCCTCCGAAAATTCCCTTCCCTCCCCGGACCCCCCCCCACCACCCAACAAGACCTGAAAAGATGGAAGGCGTCTGAAAGTAAGCGCTGCGACAAAAATGAAGGGTGTCGTTTGAAGGTTGTTGGTGGATTACGAACTGAGGTGAGGTGATGCCGAACACACACACACACACTCTTGCCGAGGTGAGGTGATGCCGAACACAGGGGTAGGGTTAAGTCGGGCGTGTCCCCCTACAGGGGGACCTTCGACGATTTTTTCTTTTAAAGCAAAAAGTACGCCAAAATGGCCAAACAAATACACAACAAATAGTCAACAGACTATTCTTTTACAATTCTTGAATATTCCCCCTGTAGAGGGACAGGCCCGACTTGAGGGTAGGGATACGGGTCGAGCCAGTGGTTGGAGGAGCCACGGCTTTCTCGCATCGGCGCTGGGCGCGCCCCCCCCCCCCGCCGCACACAGCGCGCCAGGACAAGCGCAGGAGGCGCCGCCGGGGGGGCCAGCGCCGATGCAAGAGATCCGCACGGGCTTCCGAGCAAGCGCCGTTTGCGGTTCTTCGAGTCCTGGCTCTGCCCCTCCAGCGTGCGCATTGCCTGCGCGACCATCTTGGCGAAGTCGCTCGCGAGTTTCTCCAGGGCGTGGGTCTTGGCTGCGATGCCCTTCAGGTTCCCCTTCGCGGCGGCGATGGCCTGCTGGGTGTTGTTGTACACCGCACCCATGAGCGCCAGGTTGGCCCGAAGGCCTCGGGACTCCTCCCGGGCGCGCATGTGTTGGGAGTCGCAGCGGACCCTGGCGTCGCCCTCCTTGGTCTGCTCCTGGTTCAGCTCCCGGAGCGCTGTGCCCATCTGTACAGCCACACCCTGCACGCTGCCAGCGTCCACGGGAGTGGACCTGTCCAGCATGTCACGGACGCGCAACAGGATGCTGTGGGTGTCCTTCTTCTTGCGGAGCGCCGTCTCTATCTCGAATTGCAGGTTCGACACCCTAGGGAGGTGCACATTCGAGCGCAGCTGCACAAAGGCATCCGCCAGAGCCGCGGCGGCCTGCACGTCCTCCGTTGGCGGCGTGGGACCGACGCTGTACTTGCCCTGTAGCAGGTCGATGAGATTCTTGAGCGTCCTGAGCTGCTGGGCGCGCGAGTCGCGGATCATCTCCACGAGCTCCGCCTTGTTCTGCATGCTCCTCGACATCTTGCCGCGGAAGTCCTCGTCGAGTTTCCACACCGCCTCGGTGAACGTGGAGCTGAACAGCAGCTCCTCGGCCTTCTGCTCCTTCTCGGCCTCCACGCCCTGCTCCATGTCCGCGTTGGCCTTGGCGTCCGCCGCCTCGGCGCGCAGCTTCTGCTGCCAGTTGCCGAGCTGCAGCAGCGCCTTCGCCCTCTGCCTCGACACCTTGGTCTGTATGGCCTTCAGCGCCGCGACCGTGCGGCTGAGCAGCGTCGGCGTCATGCGCACGGCCGGCGCTCGTGGGAGACTGACCAACGCCCCCCCGGCCGAGGAATTGGAGTGCGCCTGCACGAAGGATGGCGGGGCGGCGGGGTCGACCGCGACAGCTGCGGCTGCGCTGGCTGCGGGGATGTCGGCTACACGCAGGAGTGGCCCTGGCCAGGGTGACCTCTGGCGCGCGGCTTCCAGGGCCGAACTCGGGCGCGCTGGCTAGCGCTGGGGGGGCCCCTGTGGGCCCGCACCTCGGGTCACTCCGGCGAAGAGCCACTCGTACGCGGAGCCGAGGATGGCTGTCTGCGGCGCTGGGACCACGAGGAAGGAGTCGAAGACGTCCTTGAACTGGCTCTGGAGGGGCCCGTTGGCCGCGAGCAGGCGCCGGATGGAGCTGTACATTCTGCTCGGCCCGCCCGAGGTGGATAGGCCGCGGGTGATGAGCGCGCCCTCCGGGGTCAACTTGGCGCCCTCCAGCAGAGAAATCAGGGTGCCCACGGATGCGAGCAGCTTGCTGAACTTCTTGCCGGCCTGGGCCGTTCCAGCCTCGTAGTTCCTCGCCGTCCTCGCGGATCCCTGCGCTCGCTCGTCGAGGCGCCCGAGTTCGGCGCGGGAGGCGCCGAGCTCGGACCCGAGCGTCTGGTGTATCGACGCCAGCTTGGTCAGGGTCTTGTTCAGTGTGCCCATCTCCCGCCCGAGGCTGCCCAGCAGCTGCTCGTCGTAGGCGATCAGCGTGGCAAACACGAGCTCCTCGTCGTCCGCGGCCTTGCGCACGCTCTCGTCGACGTCGGAGAGGAGCTTCAAGATCTCGGGCTGCCCAGGCTGCGCGCCGCCGAGGGCCTGGCTGCGGAGAAGCGCCCCCTCGGCGAAGGACGACGCCGCCCACAGGGCAAGCGGGGCCGCGCAGATGCGTCGAGGCTTCATCGCTTCTTTGTCAGGGGAGGTAGCCCGAACTCGAGGCTATGGCTTTGAGGCGAGATGGCCAGGGTTAGCACCGCAGCGCGCAAGAGAGGGGCCACGAGCCCACCAACCAAGATCACAGCAGGACACGGCGCAGGGGGCCCGCGCATGTGTCGGGCCCAGCTTGGTGCGATCGCGAGCCGGCGTCCCCGCACCCCTCTCGGCACGCTGCCCTTCCAGCCCGCCTCCTCTGCTCTTCTGCTCGTCTGCTCTTGCCCGGGCAGACGAGACCATCCCCACTCCCACCGACCGGCGGTGCCAATCCAGCCGTCGCCAAACTCCGCTCCAGCCGGCGCCAGACGTGCAAGCGTCGGCAAGCGCTGCTGATCACAGCCGTCTAGCCCCTTATCTGCTCGAATGTCCAATAACGCGTATTTCCCAAACCCTCGATACCCGCCCTGTTCGTCTTCGATCGAACCCCTTTTGGGGGGTATACCTTTCTTCCCTGCAGGCCGGGCCCCGCAAGCGGCGGGGCGGCCGCGGACCGTCGGCCTGGCCAGCGGCAGCGCTGATCGGTGGGGCGGCCGCAGAACGTCGACCCGACCCCAAGAGGAACGGATAGGGGACCGACCACGACGACGACGACGACGACGTCGACGACGACGGCGACGACGAGCGAAAGCGAGAGCGAGAGAGAACGACAGCAGGGCCACGAAGGACACAAAGTAGGCCACGAAGGGCGACAGCGGGGACACGAAGGGAATGCGTATGGGGCCACGAAGAGCGCGAACGAGCGAGGGCCACGAAGGGCAGATAATGCGGGGCCACAGAAGGCAACGATGGGGCCACTGAGGGTAGCAACTGGGCCACGTAGGACAGTGAGGGGGACACAAACGGCGACAGCGGGGCCACAAAGGGCATGCACATGAGGCCACAACAGGCGCGAACGAGCGGGGGCCACGAAGGGCAGACATATGTTGGGCCGCGGAGGGCAAGGACGGGGCCACTGAGGGCAGCAATGGGGGCACGAAGGGCAGCGAGGGGCCCACGAAGGGCGACAGCGGGGCAACGAAGGGCATGCATATATGGGGCCACCACGGGCGCGAACGAGCGGGGGCCACGAAGGGCATACATATATGGGGCCACGAAAGGCAGCGGGTGGGCTACGAAGGGCTGCAACGGGGCCACGAAGGGGAGCGAGGGGGCCACGAAGGGGGCTGCAACGAGGCTGCAACGGGGCCACGAAGGGCAGCGAGGAGGCCACGAAGCAAAGCGAGGGGGCCACGAAGGGCTGCAACGGGGCCACGAAGGGCAGCGAGATCCCGATTCCTAGGTAATCTGTGAGGGAGTCCTTAGCGTGAGCGCGACTCCTGGGTGCCTGGGTGTCGGGAGCGCGGCGCTTCAGTAAATTGCAAGAAATTCCAACGCAAGGGCGCTATTCGTCAGTAAATTGCACGCAAGTCTCCAGCGAGAGCGCGACTCCAGAGTGCCGGGAGAGCGATTCCTGAATACATTGGAAGAGTATCCAGAGCGAGAGCGCGATTCCTGAAAAAAATGCGAGGAAGTCTCGGCGGGAGCGGGGGTCCTGGCTCAATTGTGGGGAATATCAAGCGGGAGCCGTTGTTGTTGTAACTGGGGGGCCAGGGGCGCAGTTTGAGCATCAAGACGTTCCTTGTCCAAAAACAGGAAGCGAGCGTCGAGGGCACACTCTGATGGAAAAACAGTATGCACCGGTGAGGGGGATCAACAACATTGATTCTTCAGAAATGAAAGTTCAACAACAACAACAAGGAAACAACAACAACAACAGCAACAGCAACAACAACAACAAAAAAAAAAACAACAACAACAACACCAACACCAACACCAACACCAACACCAACAACAACAACAACAACAACAACAACAACGCAACAAGCAGAATCCTCATCACGGATTCTCACTTCGTCCACGCACCCAGGGACAATGAATGACCGTTCGGCCCCCTCGCTCTGACGAAGAGGTAACGGGGGAATCAAGCATGGCGCCCCGCCTCGCGTTGTCCATTTACCTCTGAAGGCACTCGATTGGACCTGAGAAGAGTTACAGAGATGAGGCCAGAAGGCAGGAGGAAGCGGAGGAGGAGGAGGAAGGGGAAGGAGGGAGCCCAGAGGTAATAGGAAAGGTCTTGCTGATCTTGCTGGAAGCCTCAATGGGGGCTTCCTGGTGTGCAGCGGAAGTCTCGGCAAGTCGCGTGGAAGGGAGAGGTAAGGAGGAAGATTCCGGCAAGGCGCGTCATGACGTCATGCTCGTTCCCATGTTGCCCGTTTCCCTCTGGAGATCCCGTGGGGGCTCTGTTGAGAGCTGATGGGTGAGGCAATCAAGCAACGAGAGGAACATGGCCGTCTGGAGGCCATCTTGGCCCTCTGGGGGGCGCCTCAGAGCTTAGAGGCCATCTTGGGCCTTACTGGGCCATCTTGGGGCCTCCTTGGAGGACTGGTGAGAGTGACTTGCGAGAAAGAGAATAACAAAGAAGAGGATGCCTATAGGCGCACTAGGTTAGGTCCCGTGTTGCCCGATTGCCTTGCGATCCCTGGGGCCTCTTGGCCCGTCTTGAAGTGAGGAAGGCGAAAAGGCGGAGACACGACAAAACAACAAAAGGCCTACGAAATCCATTAATTATACCTCTCGGAGCCCTCTGGTGGAGGCCTCTTGGGCCATCTTGAGGCCGTCTTGGGAGTCTTGGACTGGTCTTTCGGCGACTCTTGGCCCTCTTGAACCATCTTGCGGACCACCTTGGGGCCGTCCGGGCTGCCCAGACACGCGTCCGCCGAAATGCGGCCGTCTTCCGCCGGGTTCTGCCAGCTTTGCGCCCGTGGCCAGGGCTAGGTTCAGGGGGGGTCCCCCCCAGACCCCCCCCCCAGGAGAACAATAAGCGGGAGCCCCTCCTCAAGGTTGGGGAAAACACTGACCCAACAAGGCGAGAAGCAGGGGAGGAGCATCCTCGCATCGTGGGCATCGTGCTTCCTTCTGAGCATACGCCGCCGTCTATGCGGAGCAACGCAGGGGAGATTGGACAGAAACGGTACAGATGTAAAACAAAATAACTCCTTCTCTCTTTTCACCAACCCACTGGAGAAGGACGCGGAGGAGGAAAAGACAGTTGTCCACCTACATATGTATACAACGAGTCTGGCCCGGCCATTCCTGGGACCAGTCGCTGGATAGGGACTTGCGGGATCTGTTGAACTATTTGCCCGTCCAGATCCAGAAATTAAACCTAGGCGCGTGAGGGCTACGGCCTGAAGGGCATGTTACCACATCTTTTGCCACTGGATGTCGAGGCCTGCCTGCACGGCGAAACGACTGAGGAAGACCTAAGGAGAGACTTGATACGATCAGAACGTCTCAGCCCTGATTCAGGGCTCCTTGCGGAAGGAAGAGATGAAGGGGACGAGGAGGGAAAGGAGGCTCCGCAGGATGATGAGGGGATTTACTTCTCTGGTTTGCGGCAGAGGTTGTGCCGACTGGGGGCTTCAAATGCCACCAGCCTTGCAGAAGCCGTGCTCACCCATAGAACCTCATAGGGCTGAAGAGGTAATCGGAACCTTCCTTCTGATACCAATAGATATCCCATGGGGTCATCTCTCTGCCCATGCCCTGCCGGCGCGCCAAGGCCGCCACACCTTCGCCGGCCATTGCATCCCATGAGAAATCGGGCGAGGGACTGCGGCGGTGATAAAGATATTCATCTTCACGGTGGACAAGAATAGGTTCGTCCTCACCGATGCCCTGGAAGATGTTGTCGCTCTTTCGCATGGTTTCGAAGCTTGGCTCGGTCGTCGTGTCCTCAGGGTCGACGCTGAAGAAGCTGTGCTGCAGCGCTTCCCAGGCACGACACCGTCGAAACCTGGACCACAAAGTCATGTGCTTCACGAGGTCTGCCCCATGCTTGTAGAATTTGATTAAGGGTATGTTTCCATATGACTGTAGCGCCTGAAACGCACTAAGCACGCTGCCTCCACACATTTTCTCGCAGAACTCTCGGCGCGCCTGGATGCGAAGTTCTCTTCGGCCACGTGGAAACAAGTGCGTGACTTCATCCATGCCCAATAGAAGTTCGGCAATAATCACGCCGCCACCCCAAACATCGCGCCGATGTCCATACAAAATGTTGGTTCCGTGCTTGTTCTTACCACGCTGAGGCTCTAGCACTTCAGGTGCACTGAAATACGGGTTGGACCGGTAGTAGACTTGCGCCTCGTTCTCATAATCGACATTTCCCATATCGATCAGCTCGTGCTCGTTGACCGCCGTCTCGAAGTCGATTAGAGTCAAATCCTTGCCGTCGTACAAGACGTTCTCGCGCTTTACATTGCAGTGAACGATGCCCTGGTAATGTAAATGATCCAATACGTACAATAATTGCTTAGCGTATGATGCGATTTGGACAGGCTGCTTTGGCGAGAGATTCCCATCAATGTACTTGTAGACAAGACTCTTGAGCCTCCGATCCTCCTGAATATGGAAATTGGGGTAGCACCATCCCAGCAGACGAATGACCCCAGGAGTTGTTGCAAGAGACTTGAGGATCGACGCCTCGTACAATAATTGATCTTGCATGCTAGAGTGGCAACGAAAAGGCCATCGCATTGTCTGCTCGAGGTATGTTTTCTGGACAACATCCCCCAGTCTCTTGCTACTCATAACGCGAACGTCAACAGTATCCTCGCGATGAAGAATGCGTGCGGGAGTGTGCTTGACAAAATCTGAGTCTGCGTCGATGTACTCGCACAAATGCCCAAGATCACTGACACAGTCACCGACGACTACCTGCGTAGATGACTCTTTCTCGTTCAAAGCATGGATCGTGTCCTTGAGCTTCTTTGCCTTCACTACCGCAGTTTCGCTCTCACCATACGGGCGGAGCAACAATCTTTTGGGAGCTCGTTCGCCTTCGGGCATGTTACTGGCAACTTTTTGAATAGTGCCTGCAAGTTCGTGCGTAACATCCTTGCTTGACTGCGACTTGCGCTTCATGGCGCCCGCAGGAAGCGTAAGAATTAACGAGAGATCCTCACTCTGGTCATCACCATCACCTGTGTCACCATATGCCGCAAACGCACATTGAGACTCATAACCCGCATCCTCGCCCAATCCGTGAACCGGAAAGGACTCGTGAGTCTCCTCTGTGTCAGAAGTGTTCTGGCTATCGGAAGCCTGTACTGGTGCAGTGCGGGTCAACTTTGACTTATCAGACAAGTTGTCGGAGTTCCACGTAAGAACTCGAGACGACATGTCTGATCGAATCGCGCCGCTCGCAAAAGAAGAAGCACTGTACTCTTCGTATTGAGGGCCTTGATCCAGTACGGTTGCGAATTTAAGAGGCGCTCATCAAGCACATACACATACATGAACGGGCTGTGATTGGCTCTGTCGTCTGGGTTTGTCAAGTCAGCGTGGCCCTGCGCACGGACTGATACCTTGCGTACTGTTCCCCTAAAGCCGGCTGTGCATGAGCCCGGTGTATCGCCCCCTGCTTAACTATCAAATGAGATGCCGGTCCGTGGGAAGATGGCATGATCAAGGGCGACTTGCGCACTAAATACGAGTGCGGTGAAAGCTGAGGCGCAGCAATCGCACGGCCACGGCGATGACAGACCACCGCAGTCAGGAATACAACAAAACGTACGTGTGATGTCAATATGGCGATCACTCGCTCATCCAAAGCTTCGTTGATCAACTAACGCTACAGCCAAGCAAATGATCATCCGAGCCCAAGCATGCCGCATGTTATTCGCGTTTGCGCTGTTAGGGTCCTGCAATGGCCGTGATGGCCAATGCCGATAACGATTGATCCGCGCTCTCAGATCAACGACTTCTCGGAATGAACGATGGGCTCCCGGGCTCGGGCTCTCAAGGACACGAACCCTCGCAAATTCGCTGGCCCAACGGACCACAGGCGTGGTAGATCCTGCACACAGGTAGCTCAGGTCGGGATGCTTCTCTGCTTGCTTACACACTATTTATGTAATCATTGCGCGTGTCGTGGATGGCCCTGGGAGGTCTGCAGACCTAACTGGGGCCGAAGAGCGGTCAAGAGCGGGCGAAAGACGGAGACAGGCGAGCCCAAAAAGACAGACGTGTTCTGCGAAAGCCAGCTGCAAGTGCTCTTCGACTGCAGGGCCGACTTTGCCTTGCGTGTCTTGTCCTAAGCCCTGTTGCCCTGCTGACGCAGCACCCAGAGCATGCAGCAGGTCGGAAATCGCTACAGCTCGGTAAGAGAGTGACGCCGCTGCCCTTGAGTTGTCAAACAGCGAAGCTGGCCGACTGGATGTACTCGAAAAGACCGAGGAAGGACGTACAGGATGCAAGAGAGATAAAGGAGGAAGGGGAGCGCAAGCAGGCAGCGAGGGCCAGCAGCAGCAACAGCAAAAGTGTGAATGAAAGACTAGGCTGAAGACGCAGACGGCAGGTCACACAGTAGACGAATGGTCCGACGATCCTTCAGAAGAGAAGGAGGTTGTTGGGGGCATTGGTGACTGATTCGGTGTGCGATTGCCTCGCGTCGGGTGGTCTACACAATGATCTGACTAACGCATCGGCGTACTATGAAAATACCACTTGTCCAGCGACCGATCGTGCTAGCAGCCTACCAATACACATGTATATGTATACATGCCACTAGCAATGTAGCTAACGACGCAGTTGAGGGGAAGAATCGCGACCTGACGATCCAAACATCTAGCTCGCGATGCAATTACAAGCGTTCCCCCGATTCCACCTCCTGAAATCCAACATCGACGCAACCTGGCCATGATGCTCTAATCTTCGACCCGTCTGAAGATTGGCAAAGGGCCAGTCGACGCACCGGCCAGTTTTGCCGAAGGGGTCCGGTGCAATGTAGGCCCATCGGCCCCCCCTTGGCCCGGCGTCGGGGTTCGGGCTCAAATTGAAAGTTTTACACCCCGAACGGTGTACAGACCCGAGCAGTCAGCGAAAGGGGGCCCTCTTGGTGGCCTCTTGTGTCTTCCAGGGGGCCTCTTGCACGCTTCTTGGGGCCTCTTGGAGACCTCTTGGGGCCTCCTGGGGGTTTCTTTGGGCGGGGAACCTGGGATGTCGGTCCCTGCACCCCTCTGGGGCCCCTCTTGAGGGTTCCTGGGGCCTTCTTGGGCCGTCTTCGAGGCCTCTTGGGCCGTCTTGGGGGCGTCTTGGGCCGTCTGGGCGCTCTTGGTGGCCTCTGGGGGCTTCCAGGGGGCCTCTTGCATGCTTCTTGAGGCCTTTGGAGGGCCTCTTGGGGCCTCCTGGGGGGGCTCTCGGCTCTCTGGGCGGGGAACCCCTGGGATGTTGGTCCCTGCACCGCCTCTGGGGCCCCTCTTTGGGGGTTCCTGGGGCCTTCTCAGGCCGTCTTCGAGGCCTCTTGGGCCATCTTGGGGGCGTCTTGGTCCTTCTGGGCGCTCTCTTGGGGAGCTCTTAGGCCGACTTGCGGCGATCTTTGGGGCCTCTCGGGCTGTCTTGGAGCGGCGGAAAGCCGAAAAGGCGAAAACGCGAGAAGCCTTCAAAATCCGAAGGGGAATCTATGAATTTCGACTCTAGGGGCTCTCTTTGGGGGCCTCTTGGAGGCCTCTCGGGGCGTCTTGGGGGCTCCGTGATCCGTCTGGACGCCATCTTGAACGATCTGGACCGATCAGTCGGCGACTCTTGGACCTCTTGGACCATCTTGCGGACCATCTTGGGGCCGCCCGTGCTGCCTGGAAGCGCGTCTGCCAAATTGCGGCCGTCTTCCGTCGGATTTTCCGCCGGGTTCTGCCGGCGTTCCGCCCGTGGCTGGGGCCATGTCCCAGGGGGCACCCCCCCAAATCCCCCCAGGAGAAGCCTAAAAGGGAGCCCCTCCGCAAGGTCGGGGACACAAAGCTGCGTGTACACAAGGCGCGCGCGCGGTGCGCATGGCGCAGCTGGCGATGTTCCCCAATCAGTGCTTGCACTGAAGGGGTCCTAGCGGAAATTGAAAGATTTGGCGAAAGTTTCCCGCCGATTTCGGTAGCTAGCTGGGTTCCCAGGCTTCCTGTTCCGGGTTCTCGGGTTTCTGGTTATTGGTTCCGGGCCGATTTCGGTGGGTTCCGGGTTTCCGAGTTCCTGGTCGATCTCCTTCCCTCTTTATCGATCCCATGTCAAGCCATCCACTGATTGGGTTTTTTCGTCATTCACGTGGCCCATGGCAAACGCTGCGTCCCCTGCCCCTGAGAAGGTCTGGCGGGAGCGAACGGGGCAGCCTGCGAGCTGGGCCGACCTCCCTGGCACGCGGAAGGCGCGCCGGGAGGGCCCCTGCGTGGATCCAAAAAATCCGCGCGGGACGCTGCAAGTGTATGGCGAACTTTTTTTCCCAACATCCTTCGCGGGGTTATGGTTTTCTTCTCTGCCGCGTCGCACCCGCGTTGCTTTTCCTCTTCTCCTCCTCCCCACCCTTTTGCTTTTCCGTCTCGCTCGCCCGTGCACGCCTGGCGTGTTCACTGCATCATACACCCACGACGTATGCGCCACATACAGGGCAACCACATGGTAAACACATCCAGATACAGCGCGGCCGCTACGCGCGCTTCTCATCCAGGACATAGCAAGCGTGACACTATAAGGGGTGTGCAGGGGGTGGTCCCTCAGCGCAGCCGCTATCCGTCACGGTCGTCCAAGGCATAGCAGGCGTGGCATATTCTCGACACCATAGGGAGTGCATAAAGGGGTTGTCTCTCAGCGCGGCCGCTATCCGTCACGGTCGTCCAGGGCATAGCAGGCGTGGCGCTTCTCGAGACCATAAAGGATGCGCAGGGGGTGGTCCCTCAGCGCGGCCGCTATCTGTCATCGTCGTCCAGGGCATAGCAGGCGTGACGTGTTCTCGACGCCATAGAGGGTGTGCAGGGGGTGGTCCCTCAGCGCGGCCGTCACGCGCGCTGGTCGTCCAGGGCACAGCAGGCGCGGCACTTTCTCGACACCAAAGAGGGTGCGCAGAGGGGGTCGGTCTCCCAGGGACTATGGACTCCCTCAGGGTACTCAGGCTCCCAAGGCTTGACAGGCGCCACCAACGGGATCGGCGAACCAACGGCCACTTTCATCTTTCTCGCAAGCTTCACGTCGAGTATCATCACGCCACATTTATTATAACTAAGTGGGGCTTCTCGGTAGCGTAATTTTATTCGGCGTTTCGACATTAGGCGGAAGGGGGGTGAGAGGGGGGGTATGGCTCCGGGCCTCTGCTTAATGGCGTCTGTTTGCAGCATTGCGTCCATTACGGGAGGCTCCACCTGCTCGAAACAGGCGCCAAAAACAGCCAAGATCTACTCCAAGGGAGAGGGGGGAGGGAGGGGGTTCGGGGGCCCACGGCGACCGGCAAAACAATGGACAAACAAATCACATGCTCATGAGTTGTTTTGCTTATGTCAGCAGGATCTGTGCAGGGCGGAGGAGGGAAAAACAGATGGGCGGAGCGAGGTGTTGATGCTGAGCCGCACTGTCAATGCTTCGCTGTGCTGGGGCGCTGCTGTGCTCTTGCTCGCTGGAGCAGTTGGCACGTGTGCAGAACTACAGTGTCAATGCCACGCTTTCCTGTGTCGTTGTTGCCTTCTTGGTCTGAACGCTCACCGCTTGAGGCGGCGGAGAGCTTTAGAGATCCGTGCAACAGCAGGTAAGAAAGGGCATCACGGGGGAGGTGACAAACGTGAAAACGCGCCGCGGCCAACCACCCCAGCACCACGACCCCCCCGCATTCGGATGATCTCAGGCCAACCTCCTCTGCATGCCAACCTTGGAACCAATTGATCCCAAACCCCCCTCCATGCCAACATCCCCCGACACACAGCGATAAACCCCAGCCCCCCCTCCCGCCAACCCCACGGACACGCCCCGGCCCCCCCCCCCTCAGGCAGTCCAAGGGCGGGGCGATGATTAAAAGAGTCAGAATATGTCCATACCAGCTACAGGCTTGTCGACTTGACTTCTGCTGCCCCTCGACTCCCGCTGGAGCTTCCACGATCTGCTCCAGGTTTGCCTGGATACCTTTGGGTCTACCGAGATCTATCGGGGTGTACCTCGATTCCTCTGGGTGTTCCTCGATTTACCTCGATTGCTCCTTGCTTGATCCCCGTGAGTCGACTTGGACATGCGGCTTTTCCTCCTTCATAACAGCGTCACCTGCCCAAGCAGCAGGCGTGATGGGCCAGCCCATCTTCCACCACCACCACCACTACCATAGGTAGGAGAGGGATGAGAGGGAGGAGGAGGAGGAGGAGGAGGAGGAGGAGGAGGAGGAGGAGGAGGAGGAGAAGAGGAGGAGGAGGAGGAGAAGGTGGAGGAGGAAGAGAGGAGGAGAGGAGGAGGAGGAGGAGGAGGGAGGAGGAGGAGGAGGAGAGGGAGGAGGAGGAGGACCAGAAGGAGGAGGAGGACCAGAAGGAGGAGGAGAAGGAGGAGGAGGAGGCCTCCCCCTCCTCCCTTCTCCCCCGTCCTGCCTGTGGTGGTGGCCGTGGTGGAAGATTGGCCCCTCAGGGCGCGCCAGGCCGCGAACGCGCGTGCTAGCGAGCCCTCCCCGGCCGCCCCGGCCAGCCCCTCGAGGGCGAACCTCTGCTCGGGGCGGCCCCGCACTGCCTGCGCGGCGCCCTCGCAGGACACCCACCGCCTGCGCCTCGCCCTCTCTGCGGAGGGGCAAAGAGCGGCCCAGACACTACCCTTTTCGTCGGTGGCTCCGAGATGGGGTCCTGAGGGGTGGGGTCCCGGGGACGCGGCGCCGCACGCCATGCGAGCCTCAAACCCCGGGTCCCCTCCGATCCTTCGGCCCCCAGCTTTGAGTCGCCGACTTCGGAGGGCCGCGCGGATTTCCTGGATCGGCGATGGACTCCCCTGGCGGCGCCAGGCTCGGGGGTCCAGCGCCGACCCAAAACATCGGGGCGCACCTCCGGATGTTTACGTGTGTGCCGTTTTTTGTCCTCCGATCTCGGACCACTCGCTCTCCGGCAGGACCCGCGTGACGTCCAGGACGAACCAGCGTATCCTGCTGGCGGCCCCCTTCTTGCTGCTGAAATCCACTTCGCCCAAGTCCGCCAACCCTGCAATCCGGGCGATACGTTTGTTCACAAAGGGGGCTTTTTCGCCCGGATATACGGGCCAGGGGGCCATCACCGGTCGATCCGGCTCGACGAGCGCCGCAGAAAGATAGGGTCGATAGGGCTCCGCTCGTGATTACTCGCGACGTTGCATGTTCTCGCATCACGGGATGATGAATGTTTCCGCGTCGCGTTCTCGGAGGCTTCGGAAGCGCGCTTCGGAATCCGAGGTTCCAACATACAGTCGGGGCCTTGACCTAAGGAACCCTAAATAAGGAACGAGGCCCCTTTTTTCCACAAGTTACCCTTCGATTTCCGATCGAAAACATAAGGAAAGCCTGAGGCAAGCTGTGAAACACGTAAGGAACACCGAGCCCCTCCCCAACGAAAAGGCTTCCTTCTCCAGCGCCCCGACTGTGCCCTGGGATGATCCCATGGGGCCCTCCTGGGGCTGTCCTGGGGGCCTCTTGGGGGCCTCTTGGGAAGCCCCGTGGGCGGGCCCCGAGAGGCCAGCCTGTCTGCCGGCGGCGGCCTCCCATATCATACATGGGCTATGGCGCCCTCGACCTGAAGTCGCTGGAGCGCAGGAGCTGTGCACTGCAGCCCGTGCGCTGCAATCTCTACGAAGCAGTAGCTGGGATACCGTCGGGGCCTTGACCTACTGAACCCTAAATAAGGAACGAGGCCACTGTTTTCCATAAGTTAACCTTCGATTTCCGATCGAAAACATCAGGAAAGCCTGAGGCAAGCTGTGAAACACGTAAGGAACGCGGAAACCCTCCCCAACGAAAAGGGTTCCTTCTTCAGGGCCCCGACTGTACAGCTTATGTGGTGCAACCTATTTGGTGCAGGCTGCGTGGTGCCACAGATTGCACGCTGTACGGTGTGACATTTGTGGCGCAACCCATGCGATGTAATACCAGGTCGCGCAGTCTGTGGGTAGCACGCTGTGTGGTGCAAGCTACGGTGGGGGGCAGTGGACAAGGAACCCTTAGATAAGGAACCCAGGGGCTGAAGCCAGTGGAGCTCCAATCGCGGACCGGCCATGCAAAGTATCGCCGCCCTGGGCACCACGAGAACCATCTCCCTCGAGAATGGGGTCTTCCCCTGATGGCGGGATCCGCCGCCACCACCGCCGGCGGCGTCATCAGCGGTCCGCTGTGACGCCCGCGCGAGCCCGCCGAGCTCGCCTCTGCTCCTCCTCCTCCTCCTCCTCCTCCTCCTCCTCCTCCTTGCCCCCTCTGTGCAAGCCCGGTTGCGGCCTGATGACTGGGCTCGAAGATGCCACCAGAAAAGAACGAACGCCCCCGCCGCATGCGGTGCAGTCCACGTGGGCGTCAGGCAGACGCCAGCCAGCGTACGAGCCATGCACGATTCGCCGCCTGGCAGGCCCGAGGTCCAGAAGCGCCAGCCAGTGCACGTGGCGACCCCGAGGCGCCCACGAGGCGCCCACGAGCCTCCAGCCAGCGCAGGGGACGCCCACGAGGAGCCCACGGGGGGGCCCCCGGGGCGAATGCCCGGGAACCGCGGCCCAGTTACTTGGCAACGCAAGTGAGAGCCCTTGAGCGTGCCAGCTAGCACTGGTGAGCGTTCTTTTATGCGGCGTTTCAAATTGGGCGGAAAGGGGGGTGGGGGTTGGCGCCGGACCGCTGCTTAGCGAGACTGTTTGCAAACAGCGCGTCCACTATGGGGGAGGCTCCACCTGCTCGAAACAGGCGCCAAAAACAGCCAAGATCTACTCCATGGGGGAGGGGGGGTTTGGGTGGCCCGCGCCGACCGGCAAAACAATGAATAACAAAAACGATCACCTGTGTGGGGAATGTTTGAGCATCCCTGGGCTTTGGCGCGGTGTTCACATGCTAGGTGTTCCTGTCTCCAGGGCGTCCGAGATGGCCCAAGATGCCTCCCAGTATCGCCTCAAGATTGCCACCGAGGCCCTCAGGGAGGGCCCAATAAGGGAACTCGAAGCGGTCTCCGGGGCCCTGCACCGAAGGATGGCCCCCGAGACCGCCAGCAGGGTCCCAGGAGCCAAGCAAAGAAGCCTCCAGGGGCCCCGTTGAGTCCCCAAAGAGGCCCTCAAAAGGCTCCCAAGATGCCCCAAAGAGACATCCCAAGAGGCCTTCCACGAGACCGCCCCAGGCACGGTGGCGGGATGGGCCGAAGGCCACTGGAAACCTCCCAAGCTCACCCTCGACGCCAGCCTCCTCGAGAGCCTCCCGCTGCGCACAAGCTTCGGCTGTTTCGTCGTTCTCCCAGCCGCCCTTCGGCAGAATCCACTCGTCTGGACATTTGGAGCTGGAGATCATCAGCACCTCCCCGTTCTTCACCGGCACGCATCCGCAGATGAGACGCACGTCGCCGTCCCACCGTTGTCTCTCCCGGCCGACGCGGCTGTGGGTGCCCAGTACTTTCTGCCTGAGGGGCAACGATGGGGGGGATAGGAATAGGGGGGAAACATCGACCTGGAATCGGCGATACCTCGCCGATTGATCGGCGATAGGCCCCCGAGAGCGAATCCGCACCTTCCTGGGCAGGCGGGGGCTATCGGGCCCCTGTCGGCGATCAGTGTGATATCTGGGGTCGACGCATCCGCTCCTATGCACATCCCCTCCCTATCGTTTTCGTTTCCCCCGGCTGCCCCGCACTGGCCATGTGGCGACAGAAGGGGCGCGCCAACCGGCGGGGGTCGGCCGCGCCGCGGCGGCCGCACTTTTGAGCCCCACGCAGGCCCTGGACCGTAAGGAGGGGGAGGAGGAGGAGGAGGAGGAGGAGGAGGAGGAGGAGGAGGAGGAGGAGGAGGAGTACGCAGGCTGAAGAGGGATCCGTCGCGCGGCGCGCCAAACGGCCACTCGAAAGCGGGCCCGAGCCGTCGGCCCAGGCCCAGCGCTCGTGGAGACCCCCACCCAACGCCCATCAAAGAATCACGGCAGGGAGGGGGTCGGAGCGCAGATGAGCAGAAGCTCTTATAACGATTAACGAGTTAATCATCCGAGTTGCAGCCAATGCACCTCGGGATCAGAAACCTGGAGCCTTCTCTGCCCTTGGATGTTCTCACGACGCCGCAAGTCCGAAGGGTGTCGGTTCGTGTTGAACCTGTGGATGTGAGAGGCTCCACGCTTACTACACGGAGGTGGGGGGCAGGCATCCAGTAATGCCGACGCACCCCCAGTCGAGATAGCCCCACACGAGAGGCAGATGACTACTTTGCCTGGCGACACAAAAACCTCATGCCCCCTAGCCTGCCTGGGGCCAACGTCCCCAGAGATAGGGAGGGGGGAGAGAGGACTAGAGCTAGGGAGACGTGAGCATCCCCGAGGCCCGAGACGACGAGACTTCGGCGCGGGTTCCCCACCAGCAGGGGGGGGGCGCGCCTGCGCTGCTCGGACTGCGTCTTGCAGTTCGTCGTCGCCCGCAGGGGCAAAGTTCACCCCTCTCCCTCTGTCCAGAGGGGGAAGGGCAGAAAAACGAGCGCGAACGATTCGCAGGACAGGGGAAGAGGAGCGAGCACGAGCACGAGCAGGAGCAGGACTCGCAGTCGCAGCAGGAGGAGCAGCGGAGGAGGAGGAGGTGGAAGTCGACACACCTTGCGACACGAGGGGAGCCCGAGGCTGCGAAGCCTGGGCTCGATCAACCTCGTGATCAGGCGTCCCCCAGTCCCACGACGTAAACGACGGTCCCGACTCAGCCCCAATCCCCGAGTCATCGTGAAACGCCGCTTCCTCAGCGATCATGGAATCCAAATCTGCATAGCCTCCTGATGCCAGAAGGTCATCTGTCAAATCTGTGGGTATAGCCACTTCGCCCTGCCTGGCTCGGACATTCCTGCGATGTGGCGAGGCCATGCGGGCGCGGCCCTGCTGAAGAGCGCTCCTCCCCCCCGTCCGCGGCCTCCCCCCACCACCCTCCGACAAAACGGACGTGCTAGCAGGGGTGGACAGGCTCAGCTCACATTCCTGCGATCCGACCCTACTAGAGTCAGCACCCGCCGCGCGAAGGATCCTCGCGCAAAGAGATATCTTCGCGGGGCAGCGACGACACGCGGATATCCTACGCTGCTTGTCGGATCGACAGGTCTTGGAGCATGAGACGCAACGCCATCCATTGGCGCACGGATAAAACACATGCAGGAGCCCAGGGTCAGACGGGGCAACAGCACGAGCGGCGGCCAAAGCACGTGCCTTACGCCGTTGCTCAAAACGATCCTGACCTGGGGCAACCGTTTCCGACATATACTTGGTATGCGCGCGTGCCATCCAGGTGAGAGTCTTACGTGTGGCCGTATACAGCCGTTTCATAAAGAGGGCGTCAGGATCTGAGACCGCATGCAAATCACGGCCCTGGGTGGCCGCAAAATCAGCCCAACGGTTCCCACGGGCCTCAAAAGACATGCCCTTCTGATGCCCTGGGACATGGAAAATCTGAAGCTCAGAACTCAGCCCTCCAAGATCCTCTATCCTGCGCCATATTTCACACCACAGATCACTGTTTGGGCGCCTAGGAGAGCACCCCCATGATGGCCCACGAGAGAGGCCTTCAGGCAGGTCCATGTAATCAGTGTAAATGGTGATCGGCAACATCGCAACTCTCAAAATCTGAACAACCGCATGCAGCTCAGCCCTCGGGGACGTTTGCACAGGGCCAGGTAAGGCCCCATAAACGCACACAATAATACGATGGTCCCCGACTTGAACGAAACCCCATCCAGCCCGAGAGGCCTCTGGCCAGTCGTGATATTTGCGACAAGCACCGTCAGAAAACACATGCCCAGTAATTACCTGACAGTCCCCGTACAACGAATGCCACGTGCATGAATCATCCCTCTGTGGAATGGTTGGAAATACAGTACGTGGCAGTAGGCCACGAGCCCAAAACCAGGATGTTGGGGTCGGGTGAGGAAGCACAGACTTATCATGTTCGTCATACAAAGTGTTGCGCCCCTCCTCATTGCAGGTACACGTCCACGGGATGTGAAAGGCGTCAGCTGCGACCTCGGGGCACAAAGGGCACTGAGCGGCATCAACGTATCCACACGTAAATCGTCTAGCTGGTGTCCATAAGCCTCCCGTGACCATGGCCCTCAGGGTACCTGCAGATTGGTGCGATTGTAGGTAGGGCTTTTCGGGGTTCTCGTCCTGCCTAGCCTTACCCAAGAGAGACACTATGGGCTCCAGCCAATACCCAGCGGGGCTCTTGGGGTCCAAAGTGCACGAGGTATCACGATCAGCCCGAGAGGCCCAATCCGACCACAATCGTCGCACAGCAGCAGCACGAGCCAAGTCTCGTACGGCAAGAGGAGACGCTTCCCGAAGGTCCAGAATATCCCCCTGATCAGTTCGAACGGCGAAAGCAGAGGACGATACCCACTTGAGCGAACGAAAGGCAAGCAGCGTGGCCCCCGCGGGTCCCGACACTGAGCCCCATGGTTGCTTGGGCGCGTAAATGACTGGGGCCTGACGACGCCAGGCCTGCTGAAGAAGTGCGTGCTGTGATCTATCCCAACACAATAGACACCACTGATAAATAGGGTCCACCCAGGCTGCGATCTGGGGGTCCGGCGGACCCCCGCCATGCAAGAAAGATGATATCCACGACGAACCCGCACGACCTGGTTCATACCATACACTGTGCATAGCCTTTCGCATGGAGTGGACAACGGCAGGAGGGGCACCGTGTACTCCCACACCGTAGTTGAGTGCCGCAGGCACCGCAGCCTTGGCAAACCTACCCGTGAGAGCCCCTGCCTTACGAACACGACGCAATCTGGGATAGCGAGCCCCCATCTTACGCACACGTGCACGAATCCTCTGAAAGCGCAATGCTCGTCCTGAGGTAACCTCAATGCCCGGCACTTCAAGGGCCGACACATATCTATAACCAAACTTGCCTAGAGCACGACAAACTCGTTGGGCAATAGTGGGGTGAGCGCATGTCACGGTCATCTTGCGCTTGGCGGGCGCCAAATCAACGGAGCCGAGTACGTCCACCAACCCTTCCAACACATAACATGCGTGCTTGAATATACAGTCTACCTTAGCTTGGATCTGCACCGTCAGGTCGTCTGCGTACACGTGCAGCGCGCGATCAATGTGCTCCGTGCTCCCATACAACGCATCAACAGGCGATAACAGAACCAGCTGTAATATGAACATAGCCATGCTACATCCTGGAAGTACTCCCCGAGACGCATACACAGGCTCCGAGAAAGCCCCATCCCAGGCTAGTCGTCGCTCGTACGTGTACATGCGTAAGGCTAGGGCCACCAGGGCCCCTGGGAAACCGTGCTTGATGGCAGCCTGAGTGATGACGGCCCAGGGAACCCTGTCAAAACACTTCTCAATGTCAACGATGGCGTGTAAGCATACAGTGTCATCCCACTGCGCCTTCTTCTGCGGTGGGTGAGCTTCACCATGCAACAGCACGCGTGCGGCAACGTCCGTGGTCGCCCTGCCCGTGCCAAGCGCAATATATGGTCGACCTAACCAATTTGCCCATCTTCGCACATGTCCAATGCGAGCCTTGGCCCAAACTCGATACAAAGAACACAGCAGAGCGATAGGCCGATATCCCCCAGCAGGTTTCCGAAGCAACACAATATGCATATGCTGGAGATATCGAGGCCAGGAAGACCATGCCTCGCATAAATGAAACATATATCCCAAGAACGATAAAGCCCCATTCGATACCAGGGCCCAGTGCTTGGGCCTCCATAAGTCAGCACCTACAGCAGTCCTGGCAGGAAAGGCCTTGGCGGCCTTGCGTAGCTCCTGGATGCCCATGGGTGGAAGCCGAGGACCCAAATCACGAAGCTGCGCCAGGTCATGCTGCAGCTCTTCCAGTGAGGCTGGCGAAGACCCACCGTCCCATATGCCTTCCCACAATTCACGCTGAACGTTGGCCACATCGTCCGCATGACTCGAAGGACCCAGGGGAGTGTGAACCTGGGACAACTGCCACCCTCTAGGTTTCGTCCAGCCATGTACAGGCTTGGAGCGGCTGCTCAGGCAATCCCTGAGCCATTTAACAGACCCTTGACCTCGTGCCTGACCAAGCCGCCGCTCTTCAGCAGCAGCAAGATTGGACAGGGTGACGCAGAGGGCGCGGAGGAAGGTCACGTGGTACATGGACGGTTGCGCGAAGAAGCACGTGATGTAGTAGACTACCTCCTGAACCAAATTGGCGCCAAGCGCCGATGTAAGTCGCCGCAGTCGACCCTGACCACCAACGAAGTCAATAAGTGGTTGCCATATCATGTTATGCTGCGGCAAAGGAGTGCACCCATGCTTGGCCACTACGTGCGTGAGGTCTTCCAGTCGATGCTGTAGAGCCCGAACTGCACGATAATGCGTAGTACCTGCAGGTTGCTGACTGCCCAGAGCACCTCCCGCCGTGGTCTTGCGATAGGTGACCTGACGTCCGCGACCATGATACTTGTCGTCGTCTGAGCAGTCAAACAGCGGAGCTAACTCCTTCTCGACCCCTGCGTACAACTGTTGGCATAAGAAATCTAAACGCCCTCCTCTCGACCTATTGTCACCTGGCCCGAGTTGAGCATCCAGCCGCATCCTTTCCACCCAATCGATGCCAGAGTCACCCAAGGGGGTAGCGTCTTCATCTCCATCGTCCGAACATTCAGAAAGAATTGGCTTGCGAGCTGGCTTACCAGGCCAAATACGCGGGCCCTGCAGCTGCACTAGTTGGCGAGCTCGAGGCCGAGGGCCTACTTGAACTCTCATTGGAAAGTGAGGGCGAGGCGGATAATCTTCAACGCGTCGAGCATCTGACATCTCCGCCGCAAGGGCATCGCTGGCGAGCCAGTAGTCCAGAAAAGTATACGTGCCATTTACCGCCACTCGATGAGATCCAAGCGGAGCAACAATGAGGTGGCCGTCGATGCGTTCCACAAAAGCACTGTCGCTCAGCACCTGGGGGGAAACGTGCCAATCGCCACCAATGACGTATGGAGCTCGATAGTATCTTAGCGCCTTGCCCAGCTGCTCGAGCCGAGGTATGTTGTCACCCGTGAGACCAGGACCTTGCTCAAGATAGATACTACCTGCCACAAACCCTCCTCGAGGACCCGTGTGAGCGTAAACTGCCACGCACCACGACTTAACGAGTGCATGATCCCGTACTCCAGGAAGGGCGTCCAAGAAAGTCGTGCCAACATGGTGTCGTACAAACAAGCCCACTCCAGCCATCGGCTGACCCGTAGGGCCAGTCTTACAATCACTGATGAAAGCCTTCCACCCGTCACGTTGGCACCATTCTTCTGCCTGTAGCCGCTGGCCCTCTCGAACATGAAGCTCCTGAGATGCAACAATGAGAGCTCCAGCGGCGCCTTCTTCAAGAAAACCTCTGAGACGTGTCCAGCCGTTGGCGTTGTAAGTCACAAATGCCAGCGGCTTCCTGTTGCTCCTTCTGGGCGCGCGTCGAGCAGATGTTGTGACACGATGTCGATCACCTGCAAGTCTTGATAGCCTCGTACCGCCCCCAGTATCAGCCGTACGATATGTCGTTTGATCTGCCTGTGGATGAGATAGCCGCACGCCACTCCCTCCACTGGGAGAAGTAGTAGTAGTGTCAGTAGTATCAGCTCGCTGGCCTCCCGAAGGTCGGCACGACCCGCTCCCAAGCGCCCCCCGAGGCGAGAACGTCGAGCCGTGCGTGCCGACAGGACTAGGTCCCGAAGGTCGGTACGACTCGCCGCCAATTGCCCCAGAGAGCTGAGGAGTCGAGCCGTGCGTGCCGACGGGAGTGGGTGCCACCACAGGTAGTTCAGACAAAGGCAGGTCGTCCAATGACCAAACCCGATTGTTGACCAGTCGTGGCATCGTAAAGTATACAAAGGAAAGAGCTGCCTTACTCGCTGTCTTCGTCTTCCATCTCGGCCTCTGCATCAACGGCGTCTTGGGCCTCCTGCATCTCGAGGAGGGGTGCCCATGGGTGTGCCTGCGGAGTGCCTGGGGCTGTAACACTGGCTTGGACTGCAGACTGCAACTGTGCAAGCTGATCCTGTAGTGTCTGAAGCATCGCTGGAGAATTGCCTGCAAGTATCGCAGCTGAAGCCCCTGCCACCACCGTCTGTAGGCGACCCATGGCTTCCTGCACCGACGGTATATCTGATCCCACGGGCTGGGCGGTGGCGGCGAGTACAGCGGTCCTGGCCAGGTGCACCTCAGACTGGATGTTCTGCAGCTCCGTGTTGGCCTGGACGAGCGCCGACTTTTTGTCACCAAGCTTGATCTCCAACTCAGCAACTGCTTGGTTAAGCTCCTCGACCTCTTTGGATTTGGCGGTGTGCCTGTCCAAGGATCTACGAAGCATGTCGTCTGGTGTCCGATGAGCTTGTTCGCGCTCCTCGGCCACTTGCAAATCACGTCGAGCTTGCTGTACGACTGGGGCGTCATCTCCCAGGCCACACTTCCGTAGGGCTGCCAAAGCTCGGCGTGCCTGAGCGACTCCATCAGCGGGACTGGATGCGCCACTGCTGTCGCCGTCAGGTTTCTTATCCTTGTCCTTTCCTCCCTCACGTGGACGAGAGGATGGTCTCCGTGATGGCGGTCGCTTCCGTGGCACAAAACTTGGATCAGGTACACCACGACGGTCGCGACCGCACTGATAGCAATTATCGTTGCTGGCGTAGTTGCCCTCGAAGCCGCACTGACGTGTCGCCATGCATGCCCATCTCGGCTCCTTCTGGACTTCTGGTCTTCTACCTCGTCGGGCGCCATTCCCGTCTGCGGCGGGGGGGGCACTTCTCATGTGAGGCTCTTGAGACCCGTGATGTCGATTGAGTAGTTCCCGCAGCTTGACTATCTTCAGAAATCGCCTGGCCTGCGCGCGAGCACAACGGCGGGCCCTATGCCAGGCGGGTGAGCGAGATCGCCCTGCAGGTATGTTGAGTGTCGACTCGTGCGTGGGCGCGCACGAGCCTGGGGCGGGCAGTGCAGTGATGCAGTGCAAAAACGCACCGCAGGGAAATGTCTCCCACGGCCTAAGCCCACGCCTGGAGGAGGAGGAGGAGGAGGAGGAGCAAGAGGAGGAGGAGGAGGAGGAGGGGGAGGAGGAGGAGGAGGGGGAGGAGGAGGAGGAGGAGGAGGAGGAGGAGGGGGAGTGAGAAGGAGAAGGCCTTCTAAGAAGGCGGCGGGGCGTCTCAGAAGCCCTCCGTGCTTCTCAGAAGTTCTCCGTTCGGCGAAGGTTTCGACAACTTCTCAGACGGCCGGAGGACTCTCGAGCCTTCTGAAAAGGCCCGCCCCCCTCTCACTTCCCCCGCGGGCTGGCCGCCGAGTAGAGGCAGTGGGAATGGTTCAGGCTCTGGCACCCGCGAGCAGCGCAGCCACACACACTACAGCCTGCCGCTGGCCCACGTCAAGGAGACACGCACGCACGACAATTGTTCGAAGCGGAGGTCCCCCAAGACGTGTGTGTGCATCGCATTCCCTGGCGCTTCCCGCTGCGAGCACCTAAGTAAGAGAGCCTCAGTCTGCGGCGACGAAGCGCTCCCTGGCGGCCACCGCTTGCGTGCCCCATTGCTGCGCGTGCTGCACCGGGCCAGCACCGGGACTCCGACAGGCGAGGCGTCGGATGCGCTAAAGCCAGCGTGTCGCTCGAGCCCTTGGAAAAGGCGCTCCCTTGCAAGTACATCGGCTTCGGCACCGCCTGACTCCGAGGCTTTGCCTCCTCCCGGCCTCGTTCTGAGGCTGCGCCCCCCCTTTCCTCCCCCACCTCTGGTTCATTCAAGCTTCGCGCGGCCCGCTTGGCTTCGACCAGAAGAGGTACGCTCTCGACCCGCGAATCAAACCTGATATTGTCACGAACCCCGACCTTGGAGGACAAGTGGGCGTGAATTGAGAGACAGAGAACAACGAAGAAGAGGATGCCTATAGGACGCATTCTGCTGGTTCCCGTGCTGTCGCTCGAGCCCTCCCCCTTTTCTGCCTGGCCGCGCGCGGGCCAGCGGAACACCCCTTTTCGGCGGTTCCTCCACGGGGTGCCCATAAGCGCCACGCCTGCAGCACCGCGGTGATCGCGGGGCTCCGAGGAGGCAGAGGACCTGGCGGCTCCCAGACGAGCACCTCGCTCGAGACGTCCCCCGAAATCTGGCTGCGAACGGGCAGGCGCCACACGCCCCGGCGGCGCCCGCGCGGAGAGCGCGGGCTCTCGGCACGGCGACGCCGCGGGCGCCAAAGGAGCGAAGCGCTCGAGACAGCCCCCTGCACTGCTGGCTACTTCCTTCGGGGCGCCCGCGAGCTGTGCCTGCTGCATCGCGGCGAGCAGGGGGCTCGCGCGCCCCCCCCCCCCCCGCGCCCCGAAAGCGGCGCTCCGCCCACGGCAGCTGCGCCGCCACGGCAGCGCGGAGGCCAGCGGGGGGAGAATTACGCGGCGAACCGAGTGGCAGAAGGTAGAAGGCGTAGTGGACTGATCTGGCAGTGGTAGCAGTGGTCGCCGTGGTGACAGCGGCAGTGGTGGTGGCAGCGGCAATGATAAAAAGTGGCAGGTCGCAACTGCACTCGGCAAAGGGACGGTAACCTGCACTCTTGTACAATACATCCTGGATTAAGGTGTGGGGGAGGGCGGCACGTGCTGGGCATATCTGAGCGTGACAGCAGTGCGAAACAGCTGAGCCACCATACGCCACGCCGGCCTGGAGTGTAACCAGCTCAGCTGCAGCCCAATCGGAAGTTTCAGGATACAGCGAGGGATGAACATTTCGTTCACGCTTAAGTGCTAGAGCCCAGCAAATGGAACCCACGCCAGGCTGGGCTTGAGGTAATGCAGAACATAACGCTGAGGCCCAAAACAGAACAATGTTAGAGGCGAGGCCAAAGCCAAGTACACGACTAAGATCAGGGGGACGTAAGACCTGGGTACAGGGGACTCGGAAATCCCCGACGAGGTTGTCAAAAAATTGACGAGGCCGAGCCTGCATTTTGACGAGGCCTCCCGCTGCAGACATCCCACGAAACTCCTCCTCGTCAAAATCCGAGGCGCAGTCGTCAAAAAACGATGGCGAACCCGAGTCCTGGCAAACCCAGGTCTTACGCTCCCCCGATAAGACTGAAGCTTGATCTAAAGCTACGGCGAATCGAAGCTGGAACAACCAGAACGTTCAGCAAGCACGAGGTCATGGCGTGATGAGCACCTCGGCATGCCTTGCTAGTGCTCGCGACCAAAAAAAAAAAAACAATTAGTCCAAGTCGCGCACAGGGACTGGATGATGGACATTCGAGCTCATCTTGTATTGAGTAGACCGCGTGACAAACAACAAAAACATTAGGAAACTACGATCCCGACAATTGTTCGGGGATCTACTGACCCCGGTCTATCCAAACCCGGGTCAGTCAGGCTTTGCAGGTTCCTGCAAGATCCCGCAGGATCCGGCAGGATACTGCACCCTAACCTCTAAAGGTCTTTTGTTTTGGTACCCCCCCCCTGTTTTACTCGGCGGTGAATAAACTGGTCGCTCCCCCCCCTCCCTCCCCCCCTCCTCCTCCTCCTCCTCCTCCTCCTCCTCCCCCTCCTCTTCCCCTCCTCAGAGGCAGTGAGCAGGGTAAGTGAGCAGCGACGACTACT